AGGGAGATACAGAGAAGAAGACACTTCTCTGGGGTTCTGGTCCCTGCTCCCTATTCTGCCCACAACTGATTTCTTGGTGCGTCTGCGTCACTCAGGGATTCAACTCTGACATCAGTGATGTGTTGGGCACCGGGACATGGTGGGATTGGCATAGACCCACCAGGCCCTTCAGTTTGGAAAATGTGAAAAGAAAGACCTATAAAAAAAGGCAGGGAATCAACCTTGGAACCCTTGTCTCATACTGCCCCCTTCCCCCCTGTGCCTCAGGGAGCTAAGGGTCAGATCCCTAGTTCTTCCTGCAATGCCTTAGGGGAGCTTGCCCCACAGTTGCTGCTGCTGCCGCCTTGTCCTCCACCTTGGGCAGCTCCTCCTCGGCTCCCTGCAGCCCCAGGCCAGGAAGCACCTTGTCCGGCTCCCTGGGATGGCCCCCATCCACCAGCCCTTCCCTGGCACTGGCTGTTGGCTTCCTAAGTGATCTGCCATGTTGCCAGGTACCCATTGGGGCTCTAGAAAAAGCAGATGCCTGGGGACCTGGGACAACTCTGAGCGAGGGGGCAACCCGAGCCCGAGTCACTTTTCACTGGGCTGAGTGAGCCGGCTCCTGAGCCCAAGAATAAAGTTAGAACAAAGGAGACAGAGGCAGCACCAGTGAGGAGCAAGGACGGAGCTGAGAACTGGGAGGAAATAGGTATTTCTCATCGCGCCCATTTCCCTCTCCACTCTTTCTGCATTAATCTTAGCTTTGCTCTCTACCTCCCTTTGCAGGAATTACTGCTCATTGAACAATTACCTCCTGTTCCAGTTGTGCTGGGTGAACTTAAAACGGTCCAAGGAGAGATCTTTCCAGCAAGAGAGCGTCTCTGTAAATCACCTAGGATATGGAAATGTGGTTAGTTTATTACTCCCCTGACCACTGGGAAACAATGTAGCTGGCTTCTGCCTCTTGTTGGAAACCCATTCAAGTTTCAATTCCCCCAAACAGGACAACCCTGCCCTCAAAGTATAAAGAGTAGAAACCAAAAGCTCTTTCAGAAGAAAAGCCCCCCATGAGGTGCTGCACACCTGTGTTTCCAATTTGTGGCAGCTGTGTATGGTGCAGCAGTGAACACGGGGGTGCGGGTGTCGGCTTGACAGACTGGCGTCCTGGAGCGGAGGGCACAGGGCGTTTTGGAAACCGCTGATTCACTTGGACATCTCTGTCCCGTCACCTCTGGCCCTGCGGTCTGACCCCAGCCAGGGAGTTGGGAGAACAGCAGCAGCAGGAGGCCCAGGAATGCAGTCATGGTGGAGAGGAAGAGAGGGAGGGTGCAAGAGTTGGGGCAGCATGAAGCCAGCCTTGGGCAGCCCCTGCTGCCAGCTTCCTCCTGGGGTCCGAGCTGTCTTCCCTTCCTTTCGTGGGTGATCCTTGGGAGATAGAAATTGGGGGTGCTGGGAGAGGAAGTTAGTGAGCACAGTTGTGTCTTGTTGACTTGCTACAAGGCGAGGGGCTCTTGGGTAACCACAGACTTGGGGGGGCACTTGCAAGAACAATTCCAGCGCTCACTTGACTCGGGGCTGTGTACGGGGAAGTGGTTTCCACAGCGTGGGGAGGGGAGGTATGGGTGTCACCCCGGGACCACATGTAGCTGGCTCCATCTCACCAGAACTCTGTAGTCACAGTTTCCCCTGACGGAGCAGAAACTTCCGTGTTATTCCACAGCTGCCTTAGCCACACAAATGTGTATGCAGTGATGCTACCCGTCTCAAGCAGGACACCCCACCTTACAACCTACCCAGGTGGACAGAGCTGTGTAGACAAGCCCTGGCCTGCAGAAGCAATGAGAGTTCCACCCTGCCTCTCAGACATCCGCTTCTCCGAGAGGCACTCACCCAGGGCCCCAGGGTGCCCTGTCTTGCCCCAGACAGTGCCGCGGTCTGGGTGAGTTAGAAAGAAAAGAGGCTTATTTTGGCTCCTGGCCCTGGTCCACATCTGCTGAAGGTCCTCTTGCTGACCGAGCCTTGAGGTGGCTCAGGGCATCACATAGCAGAGAGAGGGAGCGTGTATGTTCTGGTCACTCTCCCTGTTCTTACAATGTTCAGCCACGTGGGCCGCACCCTGATGACCTGGTCTCATCCTGACTGTCCCACCCATAACCACTGCACTTCTGTCTTCTTAGAGCTCCCGATGGAACACTGGTTTTGATGAGGACATTCAAGCCGTAGTAGGCACTTAATAAAGGACATAAAGATGTGTTTGATGCGGGTGCTAAGATGCATAAAGAACCCTAAAACATTCTTAGCCCTTGACGAAGAAAGTCCATGTCCGTCTCCTATGTAAAGAAATTCAGAAATGGGAGGTGGGCTTATGCACAAGAACATTGAGTTTCCAACATTTGAAAAGTGGACCTAATGTAAGTCATCTACAGTATGCAAATGACTAAGAAAATTGCAGTATCTTCACTAAAGGGCTGTTAGGCTGCCTTTGTAAGCAATGCGGCAACATGGGGGATGCTTATGCTATAATGATAAGTTTTTAAAAATCCAATGAGGCAGGTGTTTGGCACAGCAGTTAGGTCACCACTTGAGGCACCCACGGCCCACACTGGAGTAACTTGTTAGAGTCCTGGCACCTCCACCTCCAATCCAAGTCCCTGATAATGTGCTGCATGGGAGGGAGCAGACAGTGGCTGAGAAACCTGAGTCTCTGCCACCCATGTGAGAGACTTGGATGGAGTTCCACGTTCTTGGCTTCAGTGGGCATCTGGGGAGTGGGCCAGTGGATGGGAGATCTCTCCCTGTCTGGTTCTTTCTCTCAGTCCCGCATAATCTGTTCTGAGGACAGAGGGGGAATGGAAGGAGCAAGCGTGAGGCATCCCTGTCTTCCACCCCTTTGTTTCTCCAACTTTATTTTTTTAAAGATTTATTTATTTGAGAGGCAGAGGTACAGAGGGAGGGAGAGACAGAGAGCGAGGTCTTCCATCCACTGGTTCACTTCCCAGATGGCTACAACAGCTGGAGCTGGGCCTGTTTAAAGCCAGGAGCTTCTTCCAAAGGGGTCTCCTATGCCAGTGCGGAGGCCCAAGCACTTGGGCCATTTTCTGCTGCTTTCCCAGGTACATCAGCAAAGAGCCAGATGGGAGGTGGAATAGTGCTCATATGGGATGCCACCCTTGCTAGTGGTGACTTAACCAAATCACTGTGCCACAGCGCTGGCCACAGCGTGCCTCTAGCTGTAAAGGACTCCTCTTCCTTTGTCGACATGAGTGACCTCTGCTGAGGACACATTGTTCTAGGTGCTCCCTCATTTCCCCCCTGCCCTGGTCTTCTGCTGATAGGAAGGAGGGTGGGTGGGGCTGTGAGGGCCGGTGCTACCCTCTTGGGGTGTGGAGTCCCATTTTCTGGTGGCCACCTTGATACCATGAGAAGCTATGTGTTTCTTTAGCCTCAGAGTTGGGTCGTAGTCATTGTTAGGGCAACAGGAAGTATACCTTTATAAAAATAAATGCGTGTGTGATTTTCACCCATGGTTTTTGAATCTCTCCTATATTTGCTCAGTGTACATTTCTTGTAGCTGTAAGTCAGGCAATCTACTAAATCACTGAGCCTTTCACAGTAAATCTATAAACAGAATCTTGCTCAACATAAGGCTGGTTTTATTTCCCTTCTCTAATCTTAGCCATTTACTTTGTGGAGCATGAATTCTAGAGAAACAATGTAAAATATACCTGCTACCACACAGAAAAGAGTGGAGAATCCTATTGACTAGTTGATCTCAGCCACTAACATGCACCTGGTAGACTTGGCCAATATATCAGTTCCCAGGGTGGGCTTTTGCTGTAGTGGTTAAGCCACCATTTAGGATACCTGCATCCCCCATCAGAGTGCCTGGGTTCAAGTCCCTGCTCCACTACCAATTCCAGCTTCCTGCTAATGTATACCCTGGAGGACAGCAGATAATGGCTCAAGTACTTGGGTCCTTGCCACCCACATAGGAGACCAGGATTGAGTTCCAGGCTTCTGAATTTGGCTGAGCCCAAGCCTGACTGTTGTGGGCATTTGGGGAATCAAAGAGCTCTCTCTATGTGTGTGTGGCTGTCTCTCTTTCAAACAAAGATTTAAATCAATTCCCAAGTTCAATCTTAAAGATTCTGACATGAATGGGTTATCAATCATTTCCTGTGGTTTGGTGATAGGTGGATCAAGTTTTGGGAAAGAACTTGGTCAGTGGTTAAAAGCATGATCTACGCTGGTGCCACAGCTCACAAGGCTAATCCTCCACCTGCAGCACCGGCACCCCGGGTTCTAGTCCCTGTTGAGGCACCGGTTCTGTCCTGGTTGCTCTTCTTCCAGTCCAGCTCTCTGCTGTGGCCCGGAAGTGCAGTGGAGGATGGCCCAAGTGCTTGGGTCCCTGCACCTGCATGGGAGACCAGGAGGAAGCACCTGGCTCCTGGCTTCGGATAAGCGCAGCAGCCATTTGAGGGGTGAACCAATGGAAGGAAGACCTTTCTCTCTGTCTAACTCTGCCTGTCAAAAACAAACAAAAACAAATAAAAGCATGGTTTATAGTTGATACAAGTCTAACCTGGGAGCTCAGTCATACCCTTTCCATGCTGTGCAGTCCTGTTAAGTTGCTGAACCTTCCTGAACCCTGTTTTACATTTCTACACTATTGCTTGGCTAGGATTAAATAGACAATGTGTAGCAAGCACTCAGCCTATGAGCCTAAAATATGTTAGCACTTGTTATTGAGAAAGCTTGATTTATTATACATGTGCACCACAGAGCACTCTGCTTAATGGGCTCCATTGGAGTGATCAATTTCCTAGAGCAGGTGCACTATGATTTGACTCATGAAACAGTCATGTTTTCCACGTGCCGCAGCAGTGCCTGTGGCGTGGAGTGGAGTGACTCTGCGGTTAACCCCCCTAGGTCTCCCAATTTCCTCCTTTCTTCCTTTTTTTTTTTTTCTTCTTAACCAGTGATTGTAATTTGCCAGAAAAACAAAACAAACTCCACTTCAGTTTGCTTTTCCAATGAGCATCTTTATTAGCTTCCACTACCTGCTGGTCAGGCTGGAGGCTTCAGCACCTCCTCTGCCTACAGCAAGCTGATGGCTCTGCTCAGCTGTAGTCTGTCACAGTGTGAGCCAAGGGGAGCAGACGAGGGGCCAAAGTGCCCTGGGATCACGCGGAGCTAGCAGTCACAAACAGCGTGACAACAAAAATAAATTACAAAAATTAAATAGTATAAATAAATTCATATATAAATTAAGAGGGTCCCAGAGTATGACTGTTCGGCAGCCGCAAGCCCATAAGAGAGGTAGCTGTGGAGGTTGTGGGGTGTTTCCGGGGCCATCCAGGGTCACCGGGTTCCTTGCAGCTTCCGGCCTCTTAGGAATTCAGTTCCAGGTCATTGATGTAGCCCTGGACCCAGGCCTCACTGATGTCAGCGCACACCTGCCGGCCTCTCTTGGTTAGGAAACTGTGGAGAGAGATGGAGGATAACACGGTGAGGAATCCGGCAGGCAGGTGCTGGGCCCGCACCCTCTGTCCTGGGCCACTCAGGGATCCTCTGCTTCTCTCTGTCTAGACAGCATCTCTTACTAACCCAGGGGGGTCCCTAGAGGCCACTGCTTCCTCCTCCATCCCATCCCTTCCCTCAGGCTGGGGCAGCCACCCACTCCCCACCCCACCCCTGCTCCTTACTCTGCACCTACCTCCCAGGTCAGGCCACACCACAGGCTGGGCTTTTCCGGGATGGCCCCATGGCCTGGCTCTTGCCTTGGGGGCAGCCCCAGGGCAGACTCCCTTCCTCCCCAGAGGTGGGCAGGGGAATTGGCACTTACATGACGCCTGGCTTGGAGCACTGGCTGCTGGTCTCAAAATAGTCGGCTATGAATTTGTAGGGGATCTGGCGGGAGATGTAGGAGAAGCAGCAGGCGGTCGGGGTGTCGGCACCAACTGCAGAGCAAGGGAGGGGGTGAGGCTGAGTCACGGCTTGCTGACCTCTGACCCCCAGCCCCCGCCAGGGTGAGGACAGCAGCCTTGCTCAGGGTTGGGGCTAGGTGCCCAGGGCACTGGGGAAGACAATTTTGCATAAAAAGTCCCTGTCTTTACCTTCATTTTTGTATTCTCCCCTCTCTGTGCCATTCAGATATCTAATCAATCTATTTTCTTATCCCATCTTTCCTTGGAAGTTTGGTTCAGGAAGAGAAGCCCGAGGGGTCTGTCATGGGACAGTGGCAGGCAGAGCTCCTGGGGAGACCCAGGGCTGGCTGGTGCATGAACGATAGCACCAGGAAGCCACCAGACCTGGCTTCTGCGCTGGGCTCCTGCCTCTTGCAGGAGCCCATTTTCTCCTGCTCTGTGCTAGGGACCGTGACTCTCCTAGTCCCACCCCAACTCTCAGATCTGGGGACAGGGCAAGCTAAGAAGAAAATCAAAGTCTTGAAGCGAAATACCAAGATGTTTTGCATCCCTTCTAAAAAAAATTCTCTTTTCTCTCTTAGAGGCCACAAGAGTTTGATGTGGTCTGAGCGTGGCCGGAGAGGGGGACGCCCACCCCAGCAGATGAACTCACGTGGTATGGAGAAGACCTGGGTGCTGAGAGCCATGGCGCACAGGAGGACGGCGAGGGCAACCCCGGAGACCTTCATGGTGCCGAGCAGGTGACGAGGTGAGTTCGGGGGTGAGCAGGACAAAGAGTGCTCGGGGTACTTGCGGCTGCCTGCGTCCCTCTGGCCTCTGAAGCCATGTCCCCTTCTCTTTATAGGCAGTCCTTGCGGATGGGGAAATGGAATCTGGGGGTGAAGGGGAAATTTTTAAGCATAGCAGTGTTGTCACGCTGGGAGTTGCGCAACTCAGGGTCTCAGGCGACCACAGGGGTTCAGGATATCCAAGAATAGCATCTCGGGGCTGTAAGTCTCAGCTCTCAACTCATGACTTGCTCTGGCTTCTTGGGGAGGCAGTTTCCCCTGTGAGCCCGAGAAGGGGTATGTGCCAACCCAAGGCTATTCTTAGCTGCTCGCTTCTCCGAACAATTGGTTAGGAACGAACGCTCCCGCGCTGTCCCTTCCCCCAGAACTGAAACTCCGGGCTGCCTCAGCCAACCTAACCGCATGGAAGGGGTAGCTGGGGAGTGACACTGGCTCCCCTCTCCCCAGGCGGGGGACCTGAGGACGGAGTCCCTGGCTGGAGGAAGAGGAAGCTGAGGTCACTCTCAGTCACCTGTCCATTCATCAAATAGTCACGGAGTGACTAGGACCCTGGTTAAGCACTAGCTGAGGATCTAGGGAGACTTGAGATGTGGGTGTGAACATGTCAGAAGCTTGCAGATGGGCCTAGAGAAAGCATTTCTAGGAAAGAGTTCGGTGGAAACAACCCAAATATGGAGACATCTTCAAACACAAAGCTTTCTGAGTCAGCTTCATTTAGAGCTAAAAGACAGAGACCCAAACTCTCCTCTATCAGGAAATGTAAGGCCAAATGTGTTATATCGCCTGAAAGGTTGATTTATTAAAGCCCTTAAAGTGAATGAATGGCATAAGTACACTCATAACCAGTGGTAAAAAAGGAAGATAAATCGTACAAGACGGATTGTGCAAATACATACACACATGTACAGTCACGCATTGCTTAATGACAGGGGTCTGTTCTTTTCTTCTTTCTTTCTTTCTTTCTTTCTTTCTTTCTTTCTTTCTTTCTTTCTTTCTTTCTCTCTTTCTTTCTCTCTTTCTTTCTCTCTTTCTTTCTCTCTTTCTTTCTCTCTTTCTTTCTCTCTTTCTTTCTCTCTTTCTTTCTCTCTTTCTTTCTTTCTTGACAGGCAGAGTAGACAGTGAGAGAGAAAGACAGAGAGAAAGGTCTTCCTTTGCCGTTGGTTCACCCTCCAATGGCCGCCGCGGCCAGGTGCTTCTCCTGGTCTCCCATGGGGTGCAGGGCCCAAGCACTTGGGCCATCCTCCACTGCACTTCCCTGGCCACAGCAGAGAGCTGGCCTGGAAGAGGGGCAACCGGGACATAATCCGGCGCCCTGACCGGGACTAGAACCCGGTGTGCTGGCGCCGCAAGGCGGAGGATTAGCCTAGTGAGCCATGGTGCCGGCCAGGGGTCTAAGAATGTGTTGGTAGGCAAATTGTCATGGTGTGGGCATCCTGGCATGTGTTGGCACACACCAAAAGGGCCACCACGTCACCAAGTGGTGTAGGCTGTGGGACCATCATCTATTTCATCATGGACAAAAACCTCATTATGTAGCAAATGACTGTATTTATACGAACTATGCTTTTCCATACCAACCCTAGGTGTGAAAAAAATAAAAAGCACTGGAAAGAAATGCCCTAAAGAATTAATGGCGTTTACATCTGTGTGATAGGTCTGTGGATGATTAACTTTTTTTTTCTGATTTTTCTCCTTTTAGTTAGTGAGACTATTAAAGATTTATTTATTCATTCATCTGTGTATTTGAAAGGAAGAATGACAGAGACAGACAGACAAAGAGATAGAGATTCCATCCACTGGTTCCCTCCCAAATGGCAATGGCTGTGCCAGGCTGATGCCAGGAACTCAGAACTCCATCCAGGTCTCCCACAGGGGTGGCAGGAACCCAAGCACTTGGGCCATCTTCTGCTGCTTTCCCAGGTGCATCGGCAGGGAGCTGGATGGAAAGCAGAGTAGCTGAAGTGAGACTGTCAACTTCATGGAGAGCCCACAGATGCATGAGCAAACTTTGTTATAAAACACTTACAAAAGCATGAGTTGTGAAGTACATGCTGTCAGTTGTTTAAAGAAATTTTAAAAACAATTTGTATTCATTTGTGAGGAAGAGTGAGCTCTCATCTGGTAGTTCACTCCCCAGATACCCAAAACAACTGGAGCCAAGCCAGGCCCCAGAAACTCAATCCAGGTCTCCCATAAGGGCGATAAGAACCCAACTGTTGGAGCCATCACTGCTGCCGCCCAGGTCTGCATTATTAGCAGGAGTCAGAGCTGGGAGTCCAACCCAGGCCTCCCACATAGGAAGTGGGCTTCCTAACTGCTAGGCCAAACGTCTACCCCGAAAGAATTTTTTGTTAAATAAATTTACTTATTTATTTAAATGCAGATATGCTAAGGTTTCTGCCCAATGGTCTTTTCTAGAATGGAGTCATGGTGTCTCATTTCTCTGAATAAGTCTAAGGATCCTATATGATACTGACATGAATAATGCCAAACTTGAAGTAGGTTTTTTTTTTCCTTTTTATTTATTTGAAAGAGTTACAGAGAGGTAGAGACAGAGAGAGAGGTCTTCTATCTGCTGGTTCACTCCCCAGATGGCTGCAATGGCCGGAGCTGAGCCAATCCAAAGCAAGGAGCCAGGAGCTTCTTCCAGGTCTCCCACGTGGGTGTAGGGGCCCAAGGACTTGGGCCATCTTCTACTGCTTTCCCAGGCCATAGCAGAGAGCTGGATCAGAAGAGGAGCAGCCGGGACTAGAACCGGTGCCCATAAGGGATGCCGGCACTGCAAGTGGCAGCTTTACCAGCTACGTCACAGTGCCTGTCCCTAGATTGAGAGTTTAAAAAACAGTTCTGTTCCTTATTGTTTTATGATTTTATCATTAATAAGCATCTACCACATTTTGTAATGAGAGGTAGATATAGTTCTTTTTAATGGCTTGGTCCTCTAGATGTCCCCAGTCTGTAGGCAGGTCACCCCAACAATCCACAGAAAGTGCTGGGAATCCTTTGAGACAAGAAATGAAAGCTCAGCACATGGTGGGGAGGGAAGCCTTGCACCAGAGACTGGGGAAGACCACATGGAAGGCATTGGGCTTTGGCTGGGTCTTGCACACTACACAGGACTTGAACATACATGGTTGGGCTGAGAGGTGAGGGTCCAGTGGATGACTGTGGGGTCAGAGGGAAGGGAGAGGAGCTCTGTGGAGCTACTGAGCATTATGGATATCCGTTTGGATGATGATGCTAAGTTGGGGCCAAATTTGGAGTTGATTATTAGATACTGGGGAGCGTGGAGGGCATGAGATGCCAGCAAAGCAAGACCCTGCTGGAATTCTGCCCCTCCCTGGTGCCTGTAGAGGAGTTACTTCTTCTAAAACCCAGGCTTCCATCCTGTCCTTAGGATGGCTGATGCGAGCCATGAGGGAGGCAAAGCAGAGGCAAGACCAGGGCAGTCTCACTGGGCCTTTGACTTCCAAATGTCTTCCCATATTGCTGTGGATTCCAAAGAAGGGAGTCTACCACTTGTTTTATTCAAAAGTCTGCATTACAGATGATGCCACCTTCTCTCCATCCCTCAGTGGGTACCCCAAGTTGCATGACCTCACTTTTGGGGCAACCCCCTTCACACTTGTGATTCAGTTGTTGAGAGTTGGCTTCTATGAGCAGGGGAGAATAGAAACAGGAAGTGGAAACTGCTGACTCGGTCCAGTCACTTTTCTAGTAGTGGCCCCCATGAATATGGGGCTTGCCCAATGAGTTTAGCTAGCTATGCAATTGAATTGTCTGTGTCATTTTCTCTTTAAAAATGTTGACCATGTCCTGTTGATTTTAAACCAAATTCAAAGTCTTGTGGTTGATTTGAACCAAATCCTAGCACATGATGGTTATAACGTGATGAATCTCGACACACTCTCTATTTCTTAAAATTTTGCTCATTTTAACAGAGATGATTTATTGCATATGTAATTATATCTTAGTGTTTATGTATTTGTAAGACTTTTGGTATCAGTGTCAAAACCAGGAGCTAGCCCTCCACCATGTGCTTATACTTGGATTGGAAAATAGCATGCTTATAATATGTGCTTGATTTGCATATACTTGGTGAATAATGTAAGGGTGCCTTGGAATGGTTGCACTGCAGGTGCCTGGGATTTGTCCTAGGTGGTGAGTCGGTGTTCCCAAGGGAAATGACTCACCTGGAGTCACACAGATGGAATTGTTTCACACTACTTATCAGCTTTTCTCCAACTGCAACTACAATGCCTGGCACTTAGTGAGGCTTAAAAACTATTTGGCGATTTGACCAACAATGTGTGTTGCACCTCAAGTTGCCCTGTGGTGTTAGAATACTAATGGGGAGGGGAGGACCAGAAAGGCCATGGTGTCAAGGTCTTGACCTTGGAGGGACCACCCAGCACCCACCTAGGTGGTGCTGGCTGGAAGCATCCAGCAGTCAATGTCATGGACCCTGTAGCACAGAGGGCCTTGAGATGTGTTTTAGATGTTTATGGCCTCTCAGAAGCCCTGCCTTGGTCTGGCAGAGGAGCCTGGTTGGACAACCATCTGCCATTGCCACTGCCACTACCACCGCCGCCCTGGACTGCTCTGCTTGCTGCCGCCTCGTGTGCCCAGCCCCCTGGCTCTGGCCCCGCTGCGCTGGTTTCCTTCCCATTGCTGGCACTGGGGCTCTGCTTCCCCAGGATCAACATCACCTCTGTCCTTTGACGCTAGTGGCCCTGTGGGAGAGTTCTCGGGTAACGACACCCTTGTCTGGCCTACGCTTAGCTTCCTTTGCCTGGGTAATGGGCCTCACAGCTGGGTGGCCCCATCTTTTATGGCGGCAGGAACAACATCCTGGAGTCCCCCGGAGAGCCGAGGTCTCCTGGGTGCAGCCCTTTCTGTGTGCAGCCTGCCCCTGAGTTCTTCTGGCATCTGCTCTGCCCATCTCTGTGGCCAGTGGATCAAGGCGCACGTCCTGGTAGAGGACTCATCTCCAACCCCTCCCTCTCCCTGCTGCATTCTCTGCCCAGCGAAAGGGCCCTTCCTGTGAGCCTCAGCCCTCGTCTGCATTTATTCAGTCAGCGGCTCTAGTCCATCCTGGAAATTAAGTGCATCAGCCTCTCCCAGTTCCCACTCTGCGTCCAAGGTCAGCATGTTTCTCGCCATGACCTGTAAGAGTGTCCCAGCCCTGTGTTTCCCCCCTGTCTTGCCTCTCGGAATCGATCCCACCATGCAGCATCCAGTGTGATTTTGCGAAAGCTCAGATCCATTCCAGTTCAGTGCTCTTCACACCACTGCGCTGCCTCCAGCATTCGGTGGAAGCTTCTCCTCTGTGACCCAAGCCCTGCCTGCCTCTTTGGGCCTCGTGGTTTGCCACATTCCCTCCAACTTCCCGGAACCCAGGACTCAGCCCCTCGGAGCCACCTGCAGTTCCTTAAAAATGCAGGTCCCTGCCCTGCTTTGAATGAATGAAATGGGGACACGGCAAAGCCAATTCCTGTTTTGCAAACCATGAGGCAGAGTCAAACACTAACAGCACGGCCACAGCCCGTGACCAGTGCGAGGATTAGTATTTAGAACAGATCGGGAAAGCCCGCTGTTAGATTCCCTGCATTTTCTAAGAAAAACGGAGAAATCCATGGATCCTGCCATTGAAGGACATGCAGAATGCATGATTACAAAGCTTTGCCTGAGAGGTTTTCACATATGCGTGTAGCAAAGCTCATTTCCCTCTTCTCCAGCCAGATCGCCTTGGATTTCTTTCTAAATCTGTGTGTAGCCGCTGTGTGTTTGCCTACCATCATTTTCCTGACGCCCCAGGGCAGATACCTTCATAATCCCAGCATGGATCAAAGGGCACACACTGCCTGTGGAGACAGTGGGACTAAGACTTTCCTGGGACGATTTCCCTACAGCTGGGAGATGATCCTGCCCATCCCTAGGCTCCCAGATTCTTGGTTTCTACCCCTAATGTGTCGCTGACTTTATCCCACCTTGCAGATGGTTACTTCTGCCACCATCAACACCATCACCAGACCGACAACTCCCTGAGGGCAGAGCTGGGCCTTCATTCAGCTCTGTCTGCCTTGATACACAGCAGATGACTAGCAAATCAACTTGCATGACAATGCGGTGCACAAGGGAGTTTGTGCGAATCCAGGGAATGTAAGACAGCCTCTTTCCCTGAAGGCTAGGCCCCTGATGCATGAAGATGAAACCACACCAACCGGGGGAGACCGTGAGAGGTTCTGGCATACGTGAGGCGTTAGAGCTGGGCAGGGCTTCTGATGAACACAAGGCTGGGACACACCACAGGCTTCAATGACTCACTTTGTCCATAACCTGGATAAACTCATTGCTAGGTATCCAATCCCTTTTTTTTTTTTTTTACAGGCAGAGTAGACAGAGAGAGAGAGAGAGAAAGGTCTTCCTTTTGCGGTTGGTTCACCCTCCAATGGCCGCCGTGGCCGGCGCACCACACTGATCCGATGGCAGGAGCCAGGAGCCAGGTGCTTCTCCTGATCTCCCATGGGGTGCAGGACCCAAGCACTTGGGCCATCCTCCACTGCCTTCCCGGGCCACAGCAGAGAGCTGGACCGGAAGAGGAGCAACCGGGACAGAACCTGGTGTGCTGGCGCCGCTAGGTGGAGGATCAGCCTATTGAGCCGCGGCGCCGGACCAATCCCATTTTTATAGGAGAGGAGTCTTTTATGTGGATCTTCCAAACTTGATTCTTACTGATTTCTCTTTCTCTCTCTTTTTTTTAAAGATTTAATTAATTTATTTGACAGGTAGAGTTACAGACAGTGAGAGAAAAAGAGACAGAGAGGTCTTCCTTCCATTGGTTCACCCCCCAAATGGCCGCTACAGCCGGCGCTGCGCCAATCTGAAGTCAGGAGCCAGGTGCTTCTTCCTGGTCTCCCATGCGGGTGCAGGCACCCAAGCACTTGGGCCATCCTCCACTGCCCTCCCGGGCTACAGCAGAGAGCTGACTGGAAGAGGAGCAACCGGGACTAGAACCTCGTGCCCATATGGGATGCCGGCGCAGGAGGAGGATTAACCAAGTGAACCATGGTGCCGACCCCTCTTTCTTTCTCTCTCCTTTCCTTCTTTCCTTCCTTTCTCCTTCTTAAAGGTTTATTTATCTATTTGAAAGATAGAGAAAAAGAGAGGGGGGGAGGGAGGGAGGAAGGGAGATCATCCATCCATTGGTTCCCTCCCCAAATGCCTGCAACAGCTGGGGTTGAGTCAGGTCAAAGCTAGGAGCTTCAATCCCAGTCTCCCACGTGGGTGGCAAGAACCCAAGTACTTGAGACATCACTGCTGTTTCCCAGGTGCATTAGCAGGAAACCGGATTGGAAGTGGAGCAGCCAGGACTTAAAGCAGGCACCCTCGTATCGGATGCAGGTGCCCCAAGAGGTGGCTTAACCCACTGTACCACAATGTTCACCCCTCCTACTGATTTCTTTTTCCTGCTCTCTTCTTGCCCAAGAAAGTACCTTGAAATCTTCATTTCTTTTCCATTGCGGCTTGTTCTAGGGCAGAGTAACCCACACCCTCTCCTTCCTGAAGGAGGTCCTAGTCCAGTGTGCCTTTGTGGTCAGTGTTTTCTCTGTGCTTGTACTCTGACGTTCTGCAGACCACAGCATGGGAAGAGAATGGACTTCGGTGTGAGAGGAGTCTCAGTTCAGATCTTGGCGCCGCCACTCGCTGCCTTGAGCTCACATCAGTGACCTGCTCTGGCATCCCCACACTCCTGCTCAGGGCTAGGGCAGGGTTAGATAGAGTGTGTGTAAGGCGTCTTGTTCAGCACCTGGCACGTGTGAAATGTTCAACAGGGAGCTAGAATGTTCCTGAGTCGCTGTGCTGGGTCCCCTGTGCATCCAAGGCTGGGCCATTAATGCCCAAGGGAACTGCAAGGCACTAATGCCACCCAGCCCAGCGGAAGGCACAGCAATGAGACGTGGGAGTCCTGCCTCCTCCTCCTTACTGGGGCCAGGCCTAAGGCCAACCTGGAAAGAATAAAATGAAACCTCCAGTGCCTTGGAGAGCAGCATGGTTCTTGTCTACAAGTCCTTCTAAAAGGTGTGAATGTGTCACTCTTCCTTTCCGGCTGCATCTCTGTCCCCAGTCTGGCCACTGCCTTTGGTGTACCACTTCCCCCATGAGGTACAGCCCACTTCTCCCCTCCGCCTCCCTCCTCTTCCTCCGTGATGACACCTCGCTGGTGGCAAGAAGCTGCAAGGAGCTCCTCACTCTCGGCTAGTTCCAGTTTCCTCATTGGCACCATGACATCACGTCTGCCGTGGAAATTCCACTCATCCTCCCATGCCACCATCGCAGTTCTTGGCCTCAGAGTTCCTATAAAGAGGGACTCCCGCCTCGGTAGCAGCACAGAACGCGGCCAGGTTCTGAAGCTCCTGGGCTCTGCAGCCTCTGCCCTGAGAAAGGCCCTCCTCCAGCCAGACCATGAAGCTCGGCGTGACCGTCCTCTCTGTCGCCCTGCTGGTGGCCGCCCTCTGCCCTCCCGCACTCTCTGCACCAAGTAAGTCTGCCCCTCAACTGCCTCTCTCGGAATTCAAGTGTAGGCAGAGCCCACTTTCCTTGCTGGGGCTGGCTCGACAGTGGGATCTGGGGAGAGGAGTCTCAAGAAGCCTGCTGCTGGGTGTAGCATCTGGTAGGCGTTCAGCAATATTCAGGTTCCTGTTGCCTTAAGAATTAGCAGCAGAGGAGGGGAAGTGTGGGCTAGAAGTCGGGCTAGTGCAGTGAGCCTTCCCCTGAAGCAAGTCCCTGTCCCTCTCTGCCTGTCTCCCCCATGCTGTGACGAGAGTGCCGTGTGTTCTGAGTTCAGTTCCAATCTTCTAGAATTCTTTCTTGTCCTTTATCCAGACTGAGGCTCCTATCAGGGTGAGTGGGAATGGACACGGGGGCTCACACTTGGGGCCCCCCAGGGATGCTCAGGGAGCATTTACGACTTCATAGAGTTAGACCTCACGCTGGCCTCTCCTTCCAGTGGGCTCGGACCCCCCCACCGCCTGCTGCTTCTCGTACACCCTGCGGCAGCTTCCTCGTCACTTCGTGATAGATTACTTCGAGACCAGCAGCCTCTGCTCCCAGCCAGCTGTGGTGTGAGTATCACCCCCGGACCATTCCAGAAGGGGCAGGGGGGATTGAGCAGTTCTCAGGGCTCAAGTCTGCCCCGACAGCAGTGAGGATTTAGGTTACGAGGTCACTCTGTGAGTCCTGAAGGTGGCTGCATGAGAGCCGTAGGACAAGAAGGGGGTTCTTGGGAAGGAAGTGATGCAGAAGCCGGGAAACCAGAGAGAGGCAAACTGGTCACTGAGATGTGAGCCATCTCCTGCATGTGGGAGTCATCGCTGGGGATGGTAGGGAATGGAGAGACACATCCATATGTATTCAAACCCATCAGTTCTAATCAGGACATCCCCTGGGGTCACAGTTAAAGCCAGTGGGTGGGCGTTCCATGGAATCTGGTCTTAGCACCCACCCAGGAAGGATCCCATCATTCCAGCTGCCCAACAAGAACCATGGTCAAGCAGAGGGCCAAGCCAACTGCTAGGTGAGGGCTAGCAGCAGGTGTCCTCGAGGGGCCCATGAGATTCTCACCTGTCTACTCCTTATTCTACAGATTCCAGACCAAAAAGGGCAGGCAAGTCTGTGCCAACCCTAGCGAGTCCTGGGTCCAGGAGTACGTGGATGACTTGGAACTGAACTGAGCCGCTCCAGGCTGGAAGTCTTCAGGGCAGCGCACCTGAGCCAGGACGCTTCTCAGTGAGACGCACCTGCTCCCTGTTCATGGCTCCTCTCGGGAGTCCCCGGCCCGCCTCTTAATTTAATCTATATTATGTGCTGTACTATGGTATTTGGTGGTCTTCCACTAGCTACGTCTGTTTTGTCAAAGGACATGTGTCCCCTATGGGGATGGTCCACCACTGTTTCTCTGCTGTTGCGGATCCATGGAAAAGTTGATTCTATGTATTCTCATAATAAAACTTGAAAACATGGACACAGTTTCTTTGTGATTTTAATTTGATTTGGGGTGAAGGGAATTACCTGGTTTGATTTGTAGGAATATATCCCAAAATATTAAGCAGAAATGATAGAACTCTTTAAAAAAAAAAGATTTATTTTATTTGAAACAGAGAGGGAGATACAGGGATCTTCCATCTTCTGCTTCACTTTTCAAATGGCCACAATGGCCAGGGATGGACCAGGCCAAGGCCAGGAGCCAGGAACTCCACCAGAGTCTCCCATGCAGGTGGCAGCACTTGGGCCCTTTTCCACTGCTTTCCCAGGTGCATCAGCAGAGATCTGGATTGAACGTGGAGCAGCCAGCACTCAAACCAGCACTCTAATTTGGGATGCCACTATGGCAGTGGCAACTTAACCCGCTGGGTCACAACGCCAGCCCCAGTGACTGGATTCTTAGTAGGTGCTCCAGGCTGAATGCTCGCAGTATGTGGTCTCCCTTAACACTTTGCACAAGGATTTTTAGGCCCTTGTGAAATAGGGACCATCGCTCTCGGGTTTGCAGGTGAGGAAACAGAGGCACAGGAAATGCTGAGGCTTGTAGGGCTGCTGGCCAAGCACCAGGACAGGATGATCCTGGGCAGCTGTGGCATGTGGGGTTGTCACTTCCACACCTTGTGGGGATGGTGTGACTGGAGCAGCCGTACAACAGAGGGAAGGGGAAGCAGCTCGGAGTCAGAAAAGTGACTTTGTCGCCTTGTCACTAGGAAAACCGTCTCACCTTGGCCTCGGTAAAGCCCACTTCGAAGGGCTCTCAGGAGATGTGTGAAGCACCTGCCATGCAGCTGGGAGCCTGGGAGGTTCTCCCCGACTCTCTCACTTAAAATGGGCACAGTGTGTGTCTTCACAGGGTTGTCATGAGGATCAGGTTGGAAATAGCTCTCCAAAGCCAGTGTGAAGGGACGTCTGGCATGGTCCTGGAGTGCCCCAGGAGTAGCCTAAAGCCACGCCTCCGAATAGCCCATCAGTCAGAGCTGGGATGGAATGACACATACCTCTCCCGCTACCTGGGCCCACCATCTCATGTTGGGGTGCAAGGAAGTGGCTGGCCAAAGGCCACTCCGTGTGTGTGTGTGTGCGTGTGTGGCATGGTAGGAAGCCAGCCAGTGCCAGCTCCCTCACTGGCACCCCTTCCTGAGCTGCCTCCCTGGCGAGTGCCTCTCACCCCCGGAAAGTGGCTGTAAAATAAGGATAGAGGGGCCAGCACTGTGGTACAGCGGGTTAAAGCCCTGGTCTACCGCGTGGGCATCCCATGTGGGCATTGGTTCTAGTCCCGGCTGCTCCATTTCCGATCCAGTTCTCTGCTATTACCTGCGAAAGCAGTAGAAGATGGCCCAAATGCTTGGGCCCCTGCACCTCCTCTCTTTCTCTCTCTCTCTGCCTCTGCTTTTCTGTGACTCTGCCTTTCAAATGAATAAATTAATCTTAAAAAAAAAAAAAAAAGAAGGCTAGAGGAGGCTGCTCTGAATATCATCTTGGCGTTCTCAGTCCCCTGCGAGGGCAAGATCAAGGCTCGCTTCTCAGTTCCTTCCTTTGACTGCCCTCAGCTGCCTCCAGCCTCCCTGAGCCCCTGTGGACACCTCTGTTAGGTTCTACAGGGACTGAGATGAGGAGGTTGGGAACAGGCAGACGGAGCTCCTGGCTCCGGGCTTCAGCCTGGCTCAGCCCCTCGCCTTTGTGGGTGTTTGGAGAGTGAACCGGGATGATCTTTGTCTGCCTCTGTCTCTCTGACTTTCAAATAAACATATACATTTAAAAAAATAGCATGACCATATGCTGCAGTGACTAAGATGCTGCTTGGGATACCCACGTCCCATATCAGATTGTCTGTGTTTCAGTCTCAGTTCTGCTTCTGACTCCAGCTTCCTGCTAATCCCTGGGGAGGCAGCAGCAATGGCTCAGGTACTTGGGTCTCTGCCACCCATGTGAGAAACCTGCATTGAGTTCCCAACTCCTGTCTTTGCCTGGCCTAACCACAGCTGTTGTGTGCATTTAGGGAGTGAAGCAGCAGATAGGAGATCTCTCTCTCTCTCTCTCTCTCTCTCTCCTCTCTCACTCTTTCACTCTTTCACTCTGTCTCTATGTCTTTCAAACAAATAAAGAAAAAAAATTCCAAAAAGATATGAGGAGCAGCCAGCAGCAAAGAACCTAACTGGTCTTAGCTTCTGTTTTCAGCTGCCACAACCTGAGCTAATATGTTAGCCCCTAGTTAGAGAGGCTATTTACATTTCAATAAAAATTAATTAAAATTTAGAACCTAGCTCCTCAGCTGCACTGGTCACATTTTCAGTGTTCAGTAACCACATGTGGCTGGTGGCTACCATGCTGAACAATGCAGACACTGAAGTGCCTATCACAGAGCGCTTCAAGGAGTGGCACTGTTCTGGAATATTCTCAGGGCCTAAAGAAAGTGAAGGAAGGGAAGGTGAAGGGTATGAAGGGAGGGTAGCTTGGACTGTGGGTTTTTATTTTTTTCTTTAAAGGCAGAATTATGGAAAGACAGGGAGAGACAGAAAAATCTTCCATCCACTGGTTCACTCCCCAGATGGCCACAATGGGCAGGGCTGAACTCAGGAGCCCTGAGCCTCATCCAGGTCTCCCACAGGGGTGCAGGGCGCACGTGTTTGGGCCATCCTCTGCTGCTTTCCCAGGAACATTAGGAGGGAACTGGATCAGACATGGAGCAGCTGGGACACGAATCGGTGCCTATATGGGATGAGGCACTGCAGGTAGAGACTTGACCCCCTGCACCGTAGGGCCGGCCCCAGGCTGTGAGTTTAAGAAGGACGCATAATCCTACTGGGAGGGGTTGGGATGAGAAAGAGAACAGGTGATCCCCACGCCTGTGCTGTGAATAGCAGCCCCCAGATGGCCACACCCTGAGTAGGCATTTGGTAATGTGGTTGGGACACTGCTTAGGATGGTCACATCCCACACCAGCGTGCCTGGGTTTGGGTGCTGACTCGGCTCCTGGTTCCAGGTTCCTGCTGGTGTGGGCCCTGCGAGGCAGCAGTCGTGGCTGTAGTGGTTGGGTCCCTTTGTCCATGTGGGAGACTCGCACTGGGTGCTGGGCTCTTGGTGTCAGCCTGACTCAGCTGTGGCTGTTGTAGACACTTAGGGAATAAACCAGCAGGTGGAAATCCCTCTGTCTATCTTTGTCTGCCTGTCTCCCTTTCAAATAAAAGATGAAAATGAATGAATTAAAATTAGAATTGAAAAGAAACTGTATCCTAATCCCCAGAACCTGTGAGTGTTGCCTGATGGCCAAGGGACTCTGCAGCTAGAATCCAGCGAGGTTCCTGAGAGGGAGGAGGTTCTCCTGGGGTGTGTGTCTGGCTCTAAAGGCAGCCAGGTGTCTGTATGAGACAAGAGGGAGATTTGGTGACAGAAGAGAAGGCAACGATGTGACAACGGGAGCCAGCAGCTGTGCTGCCTCGGCTGCAGCCCAGGAGCTGGCCATGCCCAGCAACAGTTTCCAATTTCTCCACGGCCCCCAGAGGGGGAGCAGCCCTGTGAGGCTGATTTCAGGCTTCTGACCTCTGGAGCTTGGCGGGGATCCACGTGTGTTGTTTAGGACAGTTTGTGGTAGCTTGTCACAGCAGCCACGGAAACTCACACATGGCTAACTCACACATGGCTAACTCAAGAGTCACAGGGATCCCCTGGAGCTTTGTGCAGAAAGAATGGGACATTGCAGAGCCAGACTTGCCTGCAGGAGAACCCAGCGGGGAGGAAGACACCCTGAAGGAGGTAGACTATCACGGGGACAGGCAGCACAAGGGGAGGTGCTGATGTGGACATCAGCAGCTGAGTGCAAGGGCTGGGCCCTTACAGGGAGCAGAGACCCTCAGCGTCTCTACCTCTCACTTCTCAGGCGAAGCCACGGTGCCGCCTCCACCTGCCCTGGTGTCATTGCTAGTGGCAGGCCAGGGTCAGGGCCAGAATCTCATGGTGGAGCCCCCGCCCTCCCAACTGGAAGGGCAGAGCTCAGATCCAGGGTCAGGATCACGGGAAAGCCTGCAGGTGGCCAGGCCACACTCATGAAGAGAGCGCTCCGCCTGGGGAATACCACGGCCGGCGTGGAGTCCTCGCAGCGGGGCCACACGGGCTTTCACCGCTTGCACAACCCGAGACTTTGTTCTCTCCTTCCTCCACTCGTCACACGACCGCCTCCCCCACCCTGCGCCCGGAAAGCTGGTCTCTGCTTACTCAACTCCCCGCTGGGCTTCTCCAGAGCCAGAGGAGGTGGCAGGCCAAGCAAAGGGAACCGTGGTTAGGGAGCAACTTCTAGAAGCCAGGGTGGGTGGTGCTTCCTGCTCTCCTGCAATGTCTCTGCCCTATGTCCACTCTTCTGATGGGAGGGAGTCTTTTCCACCTGCACCGGTTCATGCAAACTTTCTATGCCTTTCCTGCTGCCTGTTCCTGTCTAGAACCTTCTACAGGACTCCCATGGACATAGACATTTTTCTCCTAGGAGGCCAGGAGCTGAGTGAGAAGAGACAGGGACTTGGCCGGCGCTGCGGCTCACTTGCCTAATCCTCCGCCTGCCGCGCCGGCATCCTGGGTTCTAGTCCCGGTTGCTCCTCTTCCAGTCCAGCTCTCTGCTGTGGCCTGGGAGGGCAGTGGAGGATGGCCCAAGTGCTTGGGCCCTGCACCCGCATGGGAGACCAGGAGGAAGTACCCGGCTCCTGGCTTCGGATTGGTGCAGTGCCAGCCGTAGTGGCCATTAGGGGAGTGAACCAACGGAAAGAAAACCTTTCTCTCTCTCTCACTGTCTATAACTCTCTCTCTCTCTCTCTCTCTCTCACTGTCTAACTCTGCCTGGCAAAAAATAAAAAATAAAAATAAAAAAAGAAGAGACAGGGACCAAAGAAGTAAAATGAGGAAGCCGAGGGTGGTGACAAAACCCACAGTTCTTCCTGGTGGCTGAGACCCGTGGTCATGGTACAGTCCCAAGCTGCATTCTACACACCCTCTCCAG